ACGCGTCTGGGACCGGGCCGGCCTGGAGAAGGCGCGGGCGCGGGTCTCTGCGCAGCCGGTGTGCAGGTGCGCGAGGCCGAGGCAAGGTGCGGGGGCAGGGGAGGTCAGAGGCGCGCCCGGGGTGGGCAGCCCGGCTGTACTTGGCTTGCCCACCAGCCCAGAGATCGCGAGCGCCACCGCCCGCCGGACCCTTCGGGGCATGTTCCTGCCGGGGGCTTGCTGGCCGCTGCCCGGACTGTGGCCGTTGGGTGGGCCACCGCCATCCTGGCCCGGCCCTGGACTCGCGAGGGCGGCGCTCGCAAGCAGAGGCCCAGCCTGCCTGGGACCTGGGGACCAGGCTGGCAACTACCTTTCCTGGCGCATCCCACTAAACACTCCTTGTCTGGGTTTAGCGGGCCCGGTAGGAACCTCCAGTTTCTAGGCCATTCCTCAGGGCCTGAATATCTTCAACCCCCAGACTCCACAGGGCCTCCCGGGGCGAAGGTTGCTTTCCTGGGGTGGGCAGGGATGCTCGGGAGTTTGAGGAGGGGACAGCGGGTGCAGGAGCGTGAGGGGAAGGACTTTTTTTTTTTTTTTTTTTGTGGTCAATATCAATTTTCCGTTGATTTTGGCTTTTTGTTTAGGTAGGGCTTTTTTCCTCCAGGCTGCCAGTTGGATGGTATACGAGAAACAGTACCATTCTTCCTGTTAATGAACTCTTTTTTAAGTCATTTTTTCTCATTTGACCCTTCCATGGAGCAGAAGCAAATTGCGTGAAATTACCTCCAAGGATTACATTTATTACTGGCCAATGAGAACCCCTCGCCTTGTTTTACAAACTCTTAATCCTATGTCATTCTGATGCCGAAAACAAGCCCGGTCCTGGGCCTCCTATTCTTTCAACTTTCCCCAGCTGGAGGGACCTCATTCTGCACTTAATATTCCCCATAAATATCACACGCTAAAGACCCCCTGACTTCCAGCAAGTCCACATTAAACATGTGACATGTCACGCATGACAAACTCTGAGTATCTTTTCAAAGCAGCATTAAAAGCAAAGAAACCAATTTTCTTCTCCTTCCAAACCTCCCCAAGTGCTGAATGATGGGGATTGGAAAGAGCCACTGGAGCGTACTTAGGGGGATTTTATGAGATTTTCCAGAATGATTTAATCTTATTGTGAGCATTATTAATGAATGGCAACCCAATTTGGCCCCAATATCTGGGAACACGGTCACAATGCTGGGAGCGCTTGACCCCCCCCCCCGCCACCCCCTTAAGCAAACCTCCTCCACCGTGGAAGACATGCGCAGCCTGAGGGAGTTCGGGAAAGCCCAGCTCAGGGCATGGCTGTCTCCTATCACACCAGGGGCAGAATGCCCCACCACCTGCTTTCCTAGGGCCTCCCCACAACCCCTTAGGGTGAGGGTGCTGGGGAGTCAGATGAGAAAGATGAGGGGAACAAATGGGTAGGTTAATTTGCTACATTTTCAGACCGGTTAGCCAGACCATGAAGAGGCCCCAAAAGGCCAGAAAGGAGTAGTTGGCGTAATATTATTAGGAGACACCCTAGATGTTATTCTGTCACCAACTCCCCATGGCCTGGACTTCGGACAGGGCGGGGACATCTTGGGTGTGCGGTAAAGAAGGTAGACAGTGGAGGAAATAGGGAGAGTGACTATTGAGGGGAAGGTCTGGGACACCTCAGAACCGGAAACTTAGGCCCGAGCTAAAGTCACCAGCATTGGCCCCAACCAGTTGCCTCGTCCCATTTTTTACCTATTACTCCCTCCTCCCCAGTCGGGGCAAACATTTACTATTGCTGTTTTTGATTTATAATACTGAGAGAGAGACAAGGCACATGTAGCTCTCTTTTTGGTATCGTCTTGAGTGCAGAGATCTTACTGGAATGGAAAAAGGGGCTGCTGTTAGAGGAAAGAAAATTATACATGGGTTAGCCCGACTTGCTTTTAGAGAAAAAATGTGCATGTGAGCATGTGTGTATGTGTATACACAAAAGTGAGTGTGTCTGAATGAAGGGGGTCTTAAATGGGGCCTAAAATGGTGTTTTGGAACAGAGTTCCCCAGAGCAAGTGCATATTTCACTGACACTGGCAGCCTGGCTGGGGGGCGGGGAGCAGAAAACCTACTACCTGAAAGGGGGAGGGGGCCCGGAAAGCATTTTTCAAAGTAAAAAGTCGTGTTGTCCCTGGACGTTATTAATGGTCCAGTTTGAAGTATACATTTTTTTCCTTTAAAGAAAAGGGAGCGATTACCAGTTATACATTAAGAAATGTCATTCAGTCATTTTTATTCATTCTCCTGAAATCTTCGTAAAAGCCTGAATCATACTTCTACAAGCAGCAATTTTGTTAATCCAGGGGGTTATTACTCTGGGCCCTTATTAGGTTCTACACCACTGCCAAGCAATCCTATAACCCTCTCAAAAGAAGTTTACCTCTCTGTTATAAAACCAGTAGTGGTATTTATACTGTGCAATAATTAGTGTATTACTTGAATCCACTAACACGTTCATTTTATCTCTGCACAAAACCTCTAGTCTGCTTATAGAAAGCTTGTGCCTCCTTTGGTGCTGTTAAAGTGGTGAAAGAGTGAATTGAAGGCTGGTTGCACTTTCTCCTTTTGCCTCGCCTTAATTCCCATCTCTTTTTGCTCTCATCCAATTAGCACAGTGTATTAAGCGGTTTATCATCTCATAGTCAGCTATTGAGAGAAACAAGGCGAGCACTTTGCAATAGAACCTGCGCTCCTTTGACACCCTCAGGTACTTACATATTCCACTGCGCTATGAATAATAGAGGAAGAATGGAGCGCTAATTCCCTCATCAAAGAATGCCTTGTCTGCTGCTTTGCTCAACAACACCATTCTGATCAAAAGAAAAGCAATAAAGCTTAGCATAACAAAACGAAACCTACTTATTAGCTTAGTGGTTAAATTAATGCAGAGCCGCTGCTATTCAAAACCAAGGTTTGAAAACAGCCTCCAACAAC